ATTCCGTTAAAACCTAGTTTCCTGTACTTATTGTCAACCGCCAAATATATTATTCTTTGAAGTCATTATACTTGTTTGTTTTAACTACAGCTACTTTTATAAATATATATTTTCCGTTGGACTTAAATTATATGTGGTGTGGAGCAATTAAATACCAACTTTACATATTCTATATGTAGCGTTGCAGAAAACATTATTCGATAGGCATTGTCACGTGGCTATCGCCAGTTGCACATCTCGAATCGTGACTGGCGCTTAATAACAACGACAACTGAAATCAGCATACTACAAAAGGTGTGAGAAAAAACACACAAATACGCAATAAATACGTTCAACCATAGCTGTTAATACAAAAATAAACTTGCGTCTGAATAGTGCACTAGTTAATACACACTTATTTATTTGATTTGCAACCGCGTGCGCTTGAATAAACTCAACTTTTCCAATTCGCAATCGTCGCCGCAACAGTAGCAAAATGGCCGGAGCTACACTTTTCGAACGTGCCCAGGCGCTGTCTAGTGTGAATCGTGAGGAGGGCATTACCCTGCTGAATAAAATTGTGCGTGAACAAGAGGTGGCCGAGAACGATGAGGAGCTCATACGCATCAAGGAGCAGGGCATCATGCAGCTCGGCGAGCTCTACAAACAGGAGGGCAAGGCCAAAGAGCTGGCCGACTTGATCAAAGTGACTCGTCCATTTTTGAGCCTGATCAGCAAGGCCAAGGCCGCGAAGCTGGTGCGTTCGCTGGTCGACATGTTCCTTGATATGGATGCTGGTACTGGCATTGAGGTACGTTGACCATTTGGATGTGTCCCAATAGCGTCTCATACAATTTATCTTTTCATTTCTGACAGGTTCAATTGTGCAAAGACTGTATAGAGTGGGCAAAGCAGGAGAAGCGCACCTTCTTGCGCCAATCTCTGGAAGCTCGCCTAATTGCCCTCTACTTTGACACAGCTCTGTATACGGAAGCCTTGGCTTTGGGCTCGCAGCTTCTGCGTGAGCTCAAGAAATTGGATGACAAAAATCTGCTGGTCGAGGTGCAGCTGCTGGAGAGCAAAACCTATCATGCACTTAGTAACTTGCCCAAGGCCCGTGCCGCTCTAACCTCAGCGCGCACTACGGCAAATGCAATCTACTGTCCCCCGAAAGTGCAGGGCGCTCTCGATCTTCAGTCGGGCATTCTGCATGCAGCCGACGAGCGTGATTTTAAGACGGCATTTTCGTATTTCTATGAAGCATTTGAGGGCTTTGACAGCGTGGACAACGTCAAGGCACTGACTTCTCTCAAGTACATGTTGTTGTGTAAGATAATGCTTGGACAGTCGGACGATGTCAATCAAATAGTTAGCGGCAAGCTGGTAAGTAATTACAATAAACAATATATAATATATTTTATTAGTGACATTTACTAATTGTGTGTGGTATTTAGGCCATTACCTATTCCGGCCGCGACGTTGACGCCATGAAAGCCGTGGCGGAGGCCTCACATAAGCGTTCGCTGGCCGACTTCCAACAGGCATTGAAGGACTACAAAAAGGAGCTAGCTGAGGATGTCATCGTACAGGCGCATTTGGGCACGCTATATGACACTATGCTGGAGCAGAATCTATGTCGCATTATCGAGCCATATTCGCGCGTACAGGTTAGAGAAATTTATAAATATATATGTCTTCGAATGAAACGAATACATCTTCTGGCGTACATTTTGCAGGTGTCTCATGTGGCTGAGAGCATTAATCTGCCCATGCCACAGGTGGAAAAGAAGCTATCACAAATGATATTGGACAAAAAATTTAGCGGCATTTTGGATCAGGGCGAGGGCGTACTCATCGTCTTTGAGGAGACGCCGGTGGATAAGACATATGAGCGTGTTCTGGAGACCATACAGAGCATGGGCAAGGTGGTCGATACACTGTATCAAAAGGCCAAGAAGCTGTCATAAGTACTCTAACGTGGAATATACACATACAAACCCCCTACTCTCCGCTCCTCCTCTCTCCCTACATCCGCGCATCAACAATTAATCAATATCTGGCGAAGTTAGAAGACAATTTTTTGGTTATTCCCATGCATTCTGCAAACGAAAAAAAAGAAAAAACAAATTTTCCACAGGGGATCCCTTTGAAAAATCATTAACTTTGTTATAGCCACATCTTTGGATGTTTCGATACAATTAACAACAGCTGAAAATAAAAAGAAATAATAAAAACATGTATTGGTGGTAATAGCCGTAAAATTATTGTGTAAACCAGAATAAAATATCTCTAAGCGTAATTAATTATCCCAAAACTGAAAGAAAAGAGTGTGCGCAAAATATTAAGCGAAATTATTCAACTAATAATAATAATAAAACGGATAGAAAAACAAAACGAATCTCAACAATTATTCTGCTTTTGGGAAATGAAGTCCCCCAACTTATGATCTGATAATGAATACGCTCTTAATAGCTTTTCTTTTAGTTTTCCAAAAAAAGCACATTCAATCTTTACTAATTATCTCTGGAAATTCGTAAACAGGCTGATTTTGATATTTACATATTTTTTATTATATTTGTTCTTACGTAATGAAAATAAATAATTTGCATATTCAAATATCGAAATATATAAATATTTAACCGAACATGTGAGTTAGACCCAAGCCGCCGCCAAAGTTGGTTTGGCCCCTGAAGGGGCCGCTGGTCCACTTGTTGGCATTGCCGGTCAAGTCGAGACGAGTGTTGCGATCCTGCGAAGACCAGAGATTGGCGCGTGCATCCAGACCCAATTGCTTGCCAAGGCCGGGAATATTGCTGTGCGTCAAGCTGGCGCCGTGGCCATTGATGTGGGAGTAGTCGAGGCCAACGCCATTGCGCTGGAACTGAAAGCCGTTGGCTAGCTTATTCTGCGAGGCAAAGGCTTTGGCGTCCAGGTTGTGTTTGCCGTTGTTGAATAGATTGGCGTGTGCCGACTGCGTGAAGCTGTCCTGTACGCCGGGCGTGTGGCTTTTGGTCAGATCGAAGCCATGGCCATGACTGTGGAAGGGGGCGAAAAATCCAACATTAGCTAAACGATTGGGGAAGCATGTCTTCAGGGATTCACTTACTTATTGTAGGCCAAGGATCCTCCGGTGGTGACAGGTCCCTTTTGTGTATTGCCCGCTGCGAAGACTTGTCCAATCACATTGTGATCGGGTGTGCCGATGCCTTTGCTCAGATTCAGACGTGCATCGGAGCCACCAGCCGGATTGGAGGACACCGAGCCGCCCAACACCTGGCGACGCACTCGAATGGGACGTGGCGGTGGTGTGGGTCGTGGATAATACGGTAGAGTTTGGAAGCGCTGTGGCATGGCCTCCACACAGACACCAATGGCCACAATGGCCAGGATGAGAATGCTGCTGCTACGGCTACGGCTGCTGTGCATGTTGCTTCGTTGAGTTCTTGCTGTTGACTGATGATTGAATGCTAACACAGCTGGCGCTTATATACCCCATCTACATCCACATGGGGAAGTACAATGTGTGAGCCTAGGCTGTTGGTTTAGGTGATTGGGACTCTGATTGTGATTCACCCTCGCTGACATCGTTCTCAGTTTCGTTCGTTGTCTTCTTCTCTCGTTGTCTTATCAGCTGCAGCGTCTTTGCGAAAATCCCCGCGCATAAAAATGTTTTTGCCTGCCTGCCTCCACTTGTTGCTGTCCACAGTGCGGTAAGTTCTAAGGCAACAAGAGTACAGTTGAATGGAATACACACATACGTACATATTGTTTGTATGTGTATGTATATTAAATACATCTTCAAAAATAATATACTACAATTGCAATTAAATTAAATTTAATTTAGTATGTAAATCACTCAAAGCAATTTCAATTTTAACGAAGGCTTCAACGAAAGATCTGAACGAAACTGATGTGTGAACATGTATCCTTGTGTGAGTGTGTATATCTCCCTCCTTCTCTGCTGTCGGTGTATGAGTGCTTAAGCCTATTGACGTGTGTTTGTAAGTGTGTGTATTTGAGTGGCTGCCTGCCGTGAAACACAGATGAAACAGTTAATTTCGAGCATCTAAAACAAGAGAATGATGGGGAAGAGAAGTTTGAGCGAGCGCAAAGAGAAATTTTACACTCAATTTGAGTGGAGTGGAATCTATTTTTGGCAAAAAGTTAATTCAATTGATGCGCAGGAGCAGAGAACACATGCAAAGAGAAAAGGAAATAATGAGCGAAAGCTAGACATAATTTAAGAAAGCTTAAACCAAATATATTTAATTAAAATGTAATTTAAAAAAGACTTTAAATTATAAAAAAAATAAAAAAAAAATAAAAATATATATATATGTCTTTTAATGTAAAAGTCTTTATCAGCATACATCGTAATGACGTCGTAGGCAAGATCAGCTTAATTGTCTTTGCTTCCAAACAAACATTCGAGGGGAATTTCTGGTTTTTCCAGAAATTTATTAATGAATAAAAAAAGAACCATATGAGTGATATAGTGGCTGTGCTTAAAGACTTTCATGTGGTTTATTCGCAGTATATATGTATGTATGTATGTATATTGTTGCCTTTAAATGTTGATTGATGACACAGACAAATGCTTATCAATTGCTTAGCTCAAATAGCATCTATATTTAAGCTATACAAAATGAGATAAGTTTTTTCTGTTTTGTATAATATATTTATTATGTTTATTTAATTTTGAATTAGTAAAACACGTATAATAAAAAAA